ATCAGTTTGCGTAAGTAATTCCGCAGAATGTATTTAAACACGCAGGAATCTAAATTAGGCTGAGCAATCCAGCTGGTATTGTAGGCTTCATTGAAGCAAGCAGTGCAAGAACTTAAGAAGAAACTAGTTAAAGATATTGATCGAAATGAACAATGGAAGCTACAAAAAAACCAGCTCATTCAAATTGATAAAGATCTTACCACAAGAACATACCAAGAAGTCATGTTGAACTTCTAGCAAACAACAGGTGTTTTCACCATTTTGAGTGATTTCTTACTAAAGCCACAATTTCAAGTTAAGGGATTTGAATCATGATCTTCTTTAGAAGTACTATAATTACGTAACTGTCTCTTACTCATTTCTCTTATACTACTCTCTGGTCTATGGCTATTCCTATTTCCTATTTGGCATCATATTTAGGGACCAATATAATCGCATGAAATCCTCAACACACGCTTGCTTACTTGTCACCACACCAGGATGGCACCGATGTAATGGTCATTTTGAGAAATACTCAAGCAAAGCAACCTTGCCTACTAATTGTTGCATCGAGGTGGCATCTAATAACACGTTGAGTAGGAAACCCTACTGATTTTTTAAGAACTTGTTTCATAGAGATCGGCCAGGGTTTACAGTAAACAACTACCTAATGTATTCCTCTAAACTAGCTTGGGACAGACAGTAAAATGATTTACAGTGAACAACTACAAACACAATCCTCTATACTAGCTTGGGACAGACAGTGAAAGGATAAAACATTGATGCGCGGTAGAGGAAGAGTCAAACAGATGAAAGTATGCTTAAAATTCAAAAAAACTACTTCATAATATGTAAATTAGTCAAATTAATAAGTAACTGGAAACTATTTTCTGATTTGAAGTACTGATCTGCTTATGCTAAAAGATATAATGTATAAAGGAAATGACGAAAAATTTCTGCACTTAGTAGCAACCAGAAGACATTTTTGGATATTTCCTATGATTTAGTCTTAATTATAGAAACTTCTATTTCTTTACTACTTCTCTGAACATATTGACTTCCACTGACAAGGAGTAACAAAGCACACAGTGGAGACAGCAACAGTTGGTATCATTCTTTTTAAAGAGTCTGTATTCTGTATGAAAAGTGTTTTTCTTTTTAGCAAGTTAGTGAATAAAATTTATTCTTCTAAGAACTGAAGGAGAGCACCATAGAACATTCAAGAGAAGGTGTCAATCATAAAGTGATCTTCATGGAAAATCTTATATATTAGTATATGTGCTTATGTTAGTCCCGTATTAAGTAGATAAATAGGTGATTAAGTTCCGTTTACACAATTCATTGACTGGCCTAGTAAAAGAACTAGGGCGTATGTGGCACGAGAACGGAAAGTAAAATAATGCAAACATTTCCCCTTTTTTGTTCTATCTTCATGCACTTTTAGACTGTATATACAATTCTTGATTTTTTTTCTACTTTTCACTTTTTATATGAGAAACAATGTTAACATATTTACTTTTGTTTACGTGAATAGTCTCCGAGACACGTGAGGTGTGTTTTAGTGTTGTGTCATGTCACCATGTCAAACAAAACAAGATTTTACTTAAACGTATCGCCCCAGTAACGTCGCCCAAAAGATTTCCAGGGATGGTTCAGTTATTCTTTCACGTGACATACATTTAGTTGCCAGACAGCCAACTTCAACTTCTGATACTATTTAGTACATAGAAATATAATTCATAAAATCTCAAGATCATTTCTCTTGTTTCATTATATTTTGATTCAATACTTTTCCGCACATATATTCTCATGCCACTATGTATAACATCCTAGAACAACAGCCTATGCATATAAATCATCAGAGGATAATTTCAGAATAGATGGTGAATTCATCACTATCCCTAATTAAGAAGGCTGAAGGCAAACATTGCCTGAATTTATCAACAACTGGGAGCCTGAGATTAAAAGTCTGAGGTGGTTTATTCCAGATAAGATAAACATAATCAGGAGAGGATGGCCATCAATTATAGGAGGTCAGCCCACATAGAAAGAAATCCATCTCATTGGCAGCATAGATCGGGCTAAAGTAACAAGTAACAGACCTCCAAATCTCTTATATACTTTGTTCCCAAACAAGAGAGAGATGATAATGCTCGCCACATGAACATAAACTTGTTCGAAACCTTCTGAATGGAAAATGTTGTATGAATAAAGAAAAAGAAAAGAATTGAACTAATATCCACTAGGCCGCAACTGTCGACACATTTTCTTACAACACCATAAGTTTTTCTCACTGCTGCAAAATTATGGTACATCATTAAGACTAACAAAAAATATTAGAAAATTATTCTGAATAAAGGGAAGAACAGTATTGAATCCACCACTTTCTTTCAGTTGCTTTGCATCCATAATCAACTTGTTGCTGAAAAAGAGCAGGGAAGAAATTAAAGGGCAAAAAAGACAATGACAAATCACCTTTCCACCATTCATGTTTTTCCGTTGAAGTTCTAATTAACCAATTGTGACATCCCACCGACTCTACGAAAGTTTAGTCCTACATCGCGTTGGGAACGAAATATTAAGTGGTTTATATGTGAAAGCTTAAGACTCAAGTGTAACATCGGCTAGTCGATTTTGGCAGTGGTTTGAGCCAAATAGCACGTTACACTCGGTGAGTCCCACGGCTTGCACGCGCCAACGGGCCCCGCGGGCCTGGGGCATGACAAATGGTATCAGAGCAGTTGCCAGCCGGAAGTGTGGAGCTAAGTGCTACACCGTGTGGTGGCTGGTGGGAGCCACCTCTAGAGCCTGTAGGAGCTACCTCTAGAGTCCACATCGCCTGGTAACCTGGGATGTGCTAATTGTCATGCCGCGACGAGGACGTCGCCTTTGTAAGGTGGGGTGAATGTGACATCCCACCAACTTTACAAAAGTTTAGTCCCACATCGTGTTGGGAACGAAATATTAAGTGGTTTATATGTGAAAGCTTAAGACTCAAGTGTAATATTAGCTAGGCGATTTTGGCAATGGTTTGAGCCAAATAGCACGTTACACTCGGTGGGTCCCACGGCTTACACGAACAGGCCCCGTGGGCCCGGGGCGTGACACCAATACCAAGTCAAAATGTGGAGAGAGGAATTGTATAACAAGAAGAATGCACCACAAGTGAATGATAGCTCCTAGAATGAAAAATGAGCCTCCTATCTCACTCTTAGTATAAGGACAATGCCTCCAGACCGAAAATGTGCACATTCGTCCCCTTCGTGCACCTTAGAAAGGAAACTCATTCCTGTGCATGACCCCTGGTCAAATACCCATCACTACTGTACCTATTGCTCATTATCATTCGATGGACCTAATGCTTCGAAATAACCTTTACTTTTGTTTTTGTGTCCATTCAGTTATACTGTTTATATCCATCAAATTCTATAATGAACTTTTTACCTTTTTCCATATAGGAACGAAGAACACATGGACATGTGCGTGTGTGCATGCGTGAACATACCCCACTATTGCCTCCGAAACAAGCTCATATCCTTTGAAAATACCTACTCCCGTGGATAAAGTAAATCAGTGAATTAATCGTATTTATCAAGATTATGTCATAAATAGCATACTCTGCTGACTGCTGAGGTTTGGCAACTTAGCATGTTATTTTGTCATATAAACTGAATAAATCAGTTTACTAAAATACTCGTATTTATCAATGCATAGTTCATAAATAAACATATCAGGACGAGGGTTATCATGTCATTTTGTCATGTGAACCGCAAGATCACAGGTCGAGAACCTTCCAAGTATAAATTTAACAATTATATTTAATCTGCAAGAATGCAGTTTACAATTTACTCTCTCATGTTAACATAAATTTCCAGGAATTAAGACTAACCAATGGGCGAGCAGATAAAATGATTAACAAATCAATAATAGAGGACCTTTTCCTTCAAACCATGAAGCAAATTAACATGAAAAGAACCCATGAAGATAATCATAAATAAGCAGTCAAACAAAACCATAATTACAAAAAAAAAATCAAATTCATAACAATGTACCATTTGGGTCTTCTTCAAATTGATCCTTGTTCACTACAAGTTTGCAGTTCGATCCCAGGCAGCAACAAAAATGATTTTTTTTTTTTTTTTGGCTCAAAAGAAATGTATCACCCTTGACCATAGCATAGAGAAGGAAAAGAGTGAAGGAAGTAGGGTTATTGAGGTGGGATTTATTATTATTAGAGAAGAAAAAGGATGGGCTCTTCATTAGGAAAGTGTGGATTTGTTTAAAGGAATCTCAACTTCTTTAAAAGGTGAGAGGTTTTTTGAACGCTTTTAAGTTGTTGATTTTGTTTTCTCTTCAATTTGGGGAGTGATACTCCCACGCCGATTTATGGTACTGCTACACCTATTTATCGTGTGTAGTGCCCCCTACCGCTTTCATTAATGATTGTTTATGTGAAACGGTATGCAATAGATTATAGATTTTTTTTTTCCTTTTTTTGAGAAAATTTGTCATTATATCGTTACGAGGAATTCCTGTAGGCAGTATTGTTTTGTTAAGTATTTATTATTAAAAAAATAAGGAGAGACTTCTATCCACTATTGTTTTTTAGAAAAAACTGAGACGGGAAATCTTTGCATTATGGGAAATTAATGGTTACATATGATGACAGTGACGATAGTATGGTGAACTTCTATTGATCTTAAAAGAAACTATTATAAATTATTTATATTTTAAGTTTTTTTTATAATTTATTAAATACAAAAAATCTCCAGGAAAAAATTGACAACAGTCTTGAAAAGACCAATTCATCATTCATATTTAAATACAATTACTCTCATTTTTTAACCTATATATGGAGATATTGAAAAAGGATGTTTTATCCCGCATTTGTAAGTGCAAGTAACAAAGACAACAGTTGATAGTTTAATACAAAAGTTCATGGTAGAAAATTAAATTAAAATTAACCCCTTGTGTAAGTCTATGAAAATTCACCATAATTTCCTGAAATTTATCAAAATTTTCTTCAGATTCCAGCAGAAGTCCCACGAGGCTTACAGGAAAACAAAAGGACAACCATGACTTACAGAAACATTTTGCAACTCAGGTTTTATAAAAAAAGGATACATGATAGATGATGATGATGATCATGGACAGGAGCTGTAGGCATAACACGTGGCGGCACCCACCGAATCAAACAAATTTCATGTCCTGGGGAGGAACTATTGGAACTGATATGCAGCACTCAAGAAGAAGTACAAAAACTATTGGAACTATAACAGGCACTCTGCAACGGTTTGGATTCAAAACTGTTGTTGTTGTTCCCCATTATTAGGCGATCAAGTAGTTCTCAATAAAATTTTCCAATGTGAAAGCATTAGCTATATCCTATAAATGTACACCTTTCGCCGATCCCTAACAAAAATGTACATATATGTTCTAAACAGGCGTTTTTGAGCTTTACTCTGAAACTTATACCAAGAATGAACAAAAATACCTTCGCAAATGGAAGCAGGAAAAAAATAAAATAAAACTTAAACTTCTTCGGATTCGTAACCCACATTGTATTTCCATTTTATCCTCTCTTTTTTCTGTGATGGTGAAGAGCTAGCGTTTTGAGAACATCCCCTTGGTTAACGTCGAGAAATCAAAAACATCAGAAGTGGAGGGCTTGGTGGTGGAAGATGATGGCTTTTTGGCTTCTGAGGCAACTGATTCCTCAGTTTCAGTTCTGCAAGAGAGTATTGAATACCAGCATTTAATTATCTTCTCATATATGCTTTGCACTTACAAGAAGAAAAAGAAGAATGTTTACAAGAGAAACTAATAATATCGGAAGTAATTATGAATTCTTTGAATCGTCAGACTTGGATCAGATTGTGAAAACAATTACAAATCTCAATAATTAATATGTTATTGTTAGATAAGCGTACTTAATTGCATAATATTATATAGGCATATGCTTTTAAAATGTCAAGGGATATGCCCCAAGGAGGTCAGTCAGTAACTCATAACTCCTGAGGAATTTCAGAATAAACTTTTGTATTCGAAAGGGATGCAGTTAAAGTCTGTATTTACTAGTTTGATTGGGTTGTAGTCCAAGTATTATACCATTAAAGTTTGGTAGATTTGTTTTAAAGTAGGTTAATTTTGATGAACTATTTTCATTTCCATTCTTTTCAGTGCCACACCATCTAACTGAATCAATATGCAATAGCTATATGCTTTCTAAAATTTGGTACAGAAGAAACCCCCAATTTTTCAATAGTCTAAACAGGCCAAAAGGACAGATGACGGTTTAATTTTTGAGATATAGCAAATACCCCTTTATAAGTTCCATTAAAGTTTCCTACCAAGGACTAATGCCTGGGACTTCTGACCATCTAAAGGCTACCTCCACAAAACCCTCTACTCTGTGAGAAGCTGACACACTTTACTAAGGAGAACTGCATTACATCATAGTGGAAACCTTTATACCTACCTACAGTAAAGAGGATATCTTTATACAAATATTAGAGAAAAGAGAGAGTTAACCTCGTTGTCGGGTTACTTTGGATCATGTTTGGTGACGGAAGAATGTTACCAACCTATAAAGTAGTAGAGAAAAGATAGTTAACCAACTATTTCATTATTTACTCCTATATCATAAAGTTTTTATGAAAATCACCTGGGCTCCTGGCAGTGTCATCCCTGGCATTTGATAACCATGACCCGACAAGTCCTTCGTTAGCATACCTACATTTGTTTGACTTGTGTTTGTCGCACCTGGTTGTTGTGTTGTAGCAGGAAATGGAGGTGTTCCTCCAGATTTAGAGGCAGCCATAATAAGAGCTTGTTGCTGGGAGAGGAAAGCAATTTGCTGTTGATGAACAGAAAAGGGAGACACCATATTCGACTGCAATAAATCACATTACAAATATGCAATTATAAATACAACTCCAATCTTAACTGGATTGAGTACAAAAAAAACGAGTCGATTCTATAATTTCTTACTGGATTAGATCTCTTTGGGTTTTTTTTTATAATGGAGCTTATATAGCTGTGTTGTATGTCTTTCTTTTGGCAGGAATTTGAGTACAGAGAAATTGGTTAATTATATAATCCTAGGCACAGGATCCTGCACAACTTTTTTATTGAGCGTATACAGGTATGGTTTATCTATATCTTTCAAAAAGCATGTTATTTTTGATAGGCTATTTTTATTTGATTTCTAAATGTTTTTCTAACCAACAGTTAACATATGACCATCCTTATAGAGATAACCACACCATATAACGAAACTATACATGGAAACAATTAACGCTTCAATTTATTGAGCAGAGTAATCTAACTTGCACATCATTTGTTTCATTACATAATCTTTAGACTGTAACCACCTAAAAAGAATCAAATAACTAATTAGTAGTGTATGTGCTAGGTCTAGATTCCAAAAAGTTGCTAGTGTAATCCTACCTCATGAAAATGATCTGTACCGTCAAGTTGACATATGACATGGTATTGTGTTAGAGCACATGCAAATATAAGGTTTCTTGCCTGCCCATTGATTCCGCAGGAGTATGAAAGGTTGACCTATCCAGGATCATAGGATCCATGTTAATTTACTCATTTCATTTGCAAAAATAGATAATTATGGGATCAGTTGTTCGGTAGTGGTCTATTAGGCCCATAATGACATTGACGTAAGAATGTTTTCTGTGGACCTTGTTGGTCATGGGTTATACCTATAATTAAACGAAAATACTAATATGTTAGCTCTATGGAAAGTAGGTTTCATGCATCTTACAGAAAATAAGATGGAAATATACCTTGTCAAAAAGATTCAGAATGTCATCTTTTATCTCTGTCTGGGACTTTTCTGTAGCTGTTGCCTGCGATTTCTCTCGAGCTGGAGGAGTCGTGATAGATGTTGAATCTTTAAATAACTCCTCGATTGCTGATGTAGATTGAGATTTAATTACAGCATCCCTTCTGTTGTCATTATCACCTGTGGCAGAGTTGGATTCTGCATTTAAATTTTCCTGTAAACTCTCTTGAGACAAAGAAGGTGTCACAAGTGATGCATCTGCAAACAAGTCCTCAATAGCTGAGGTAGACTTAGACTTGACACAACCTGTACCAACATGTGCTTCAACCGCTGCAAGTGTTAACATTTAAACCAAAAGTAAGCTCACCATGAAGAACTGACAACAATTACATAGTTGTTCATATTAAATCTGCTAGGAAAAAGGAAGAGGAAAAAATATCTTTATAGGTTAGGCCAGGTATATATAGCATGAGTTTGAGATTAACACAGAACATTTTAAGAGAGATACCATAGTCTCCACTTTATTGCAAAGTTGATTTTGTATAAGTAAAAGATCAGACACAAAATAGAGTAACACGGGGAAAAGGAAAAGGAAAATAATGCACAAGCCGACATATCCTATAGCATGAAATTTAAGTAAATTAAGATACTAGGATATGGTCAGAAAGGGCTTAGGGCTGATTGTATTGGCTTTGATTTGGTTGAACTAGTGTTAGGAGATAAACAAATCAACTTTGACAGAGATGAGCGTAAATGTGCAGCATGTGCCACAGTTACAATACCCATCTCCATCTTAGGGATGGATCCAATAACTTCCCTGAGCTTTTACAGAAAATTTTGAAGTCCAAACTCTATCATTAAGAAAGTAATATAGCTTACACGGAAAATTTGCCCACGAAGTGTCATCAGCTGTAGACTGTTGAGATCCATTTTCATTTGACTCGTCCATAGGAAGCATATCAAAAAGATTAGTCGTGATACTAACTTTTGGGGGTTGGGTGGATGTGGTATCAACTGTGGTTGGTGTTGCTCGAGGAGGCCTTTGGGATTCAGTCTTGGGCATGACGTGTCGTACTTTAAACCCTGAGGAAACCTGTTTTAGATATGGAAATTTTAAGTCAAACCATCAAAATGAAACAAACATGTTTTGCTCAAGTTAACAAAAAAGACATAGGAAACATGAGGTTTGAAATTTTTCCTACCATTTACATGTGTAACAAGTTGTCAGACTTACAACTTAATAAAATGCAAACTTATAAAAGCATCTATACTACTATTCTACTCTATTCCTTAAAAGCATATTTTCCAATCACAATTCAATTGATCGCAATATACGGGCTGCAAATCAGAGCTCTAGGTCTAGAAGACTCCATGAAACAAATGAGTACATCTTAATAACTGTCAAACTTATGCCCTTCCTCTCTAAATAGCTACTAATATTATGGACAGTGAATCTTTCCTTGGGAAATTTGCAGACGAGTTGAACATGAGGCTGAGAGGCTGAAACTTCAGCCTATTCGCATTACTCTCAAAAGAGCATTGAACTAGCGTCTATCTCCCTCATGGATATGCAACTAAACTAAATCACTTATTGCATGTGTAACGCACATGTCTCTACTTTCTACAAGGTTAAGCATATGGAAAACTAAAAGGATACTTGAAAAGTAGGGGCAGGTGCTACTGAAGCAAAAAATAAATAAATAAATAAAACAACAATAAGCTGAGTGAGTCTAGCTGAACATAGAAGCAGACAATTTAAAATAATGATTTGGATGATTTGCCTTAATCTAAAGAAATTTGAAATACTTAATTTCAGTAGAATAAGAAAAAAAATTATGGAAACCAGAATCACAGTCGTAGATTAAACAAAAGTCTGCTCATGACAGGACTTGAGTACTACTTAATGTCACTGTGACGCATGAAACTTACTTTTTCTATCAATACATTTTCTTAGCTTCATATTGAAATAATAGTATTCTCCTTCTTTGAACTAGCAGGAAAAGACTCGTGTAAACTGCTTGACAAGCTAAAATAAGAGATAGGACCAGTTGCCTCACAAAATATGTTAACAATATACAGACATTATATCACTATTATGAATAACTGGATTGTTCAATTCCAGAGGATTGCCTTTGGTAGATGCTGGGAACATATATTTTAAGGAAACCTATATAGAATACAGGATGAACAAGCAAAGATTAACACCTGGCAGTTTCAACCGCAAATCAACAATAAAAACTGCTTAAGACGCACTAGCTTGCTTTACTTAAAAAGAACAACATTCACGAACGTGAATGATCATAATTTCATGAACAGGGCATAATCATGAGTTAAGGTAAAATACCTGTACATCCGTATCAAATAATATTGAAAAATGAAAATATAAAAGGGAATATGAAAAGGGAAACCCCCAAAACTGACTCTTCAATGTTTTCTTTTCCATTATCAATGTGAATTTATCAATTCCAAGGATAATCAAGCAGTTATTCTATGCCATCATCTCGGTATAGATTCATAAGCTCAATCTATTAGCAATTAACAAAAATAGACCATATTTTTTTTTTCTTTTTTCATATTAGATCCAGGCCTGACCAGTTAAGAAACAGCAAAACCTCAGAAGAATTCTCACATTTCCTAAGATTCTAGAGTAGAAGTGTAAAACGAAACTATAGCCAATAAACAAGATCGTACATGTCTTACCGGAGTAGGTAACTTTGGGACTGCTAGGCTGGTTTTCTTTGGACCCTGCTGCTCAGGGCTTTTGTGCTCCCCAGGAGAATCTGCTTTATTAATAGAACCTTGTGCACACCTATCATCAGGCTTTTCCTTATATTCAGAAACCTTCTCTTCTCCATACTGTAAATGTGATATTGCAGTAGAATTTCTAGGTATCCATCTTTTATCTTCATATCTGGCGATTGAACTATTTTTCAGGCTACCGCATCCAGCTATACAAATCTTAAGTAGAACTATGAAGAATCACAGTACAAGAAAATTAGAATTAGAAGCAAGCATACTTTGCACGAATGAAGTTCTCTATCCCAACTCTGTCATAGTTTGGAGGTAGTTCTGCTTCCCAATAGCTATTTGCCTTTTCATTTCCCATTGCTGCCAACTCTGTCATAGTTTGGAGGTAGTTCTGCTTCCCAATAGCTATTTGCCTTTTCATTTCCCATTGCTGTGAATGACCAGTGCCAATTAAAACAAAAGCTATTTGCCTTTTCATTTCCCATTGCTGTGAATGACCAGTGCCAATTAAAACAAATCAGCCGCCCCACACATGTGCCAATACAAATGTCTATACAATAAGCACGCGTATAAAAACATATCGCATACTACATGTAATGTGAAGTAGCTAAAAGGTGCAAAGAATTACTTTGAATAAATGCAACCTGCTCTGGAAGCCATGTGTCCAGGGTTGCAGATCTTACCTGCAGTTGACACGAAGCAGTTATTGAGATGCATCAAAATTCTAACAGATACTAGTTTGACAAATCAGAGCCGAGGCAAGCATATGTTGCATTTCAGTGACTCATTCGCATTCCTAGACATAGGAAAGCTAAGTTGACTTTCAATCGTGTAAGCAAACTTGAAAATAAGCATAAGATTTTATTATAGAAGAAAACAGAACTGAAGGAGTTGATCAAGTGATGCAAGCAGTCATTGTGCAAAGTCATGTAAAATATTGCGTATGATAAATAAGAGGACACTAGCTCAAAACCACAAAGAAACAGCAATGATAGCTTCAACAATTTATATGTCAGTTCCCATACATACATATATTCTAACATCTTTAAAATTTAGATGCAACTTAGTCAGAGCTACAAATAAGTTTAACAGAAGATAATCTCATTTATACGTTAGTTCCCATACATGTATACATGAAAGGGAACTGCTAAGATATTCGGTTTGTTGAAATACTTTATATGCTAGTTCCAATACATATATACATGCATACTTATCTACCCACCTACCAACCTATATACAGTGTAAGTACATACAAATATATGTAATACATAGATAGATGTATACATATATACCTATAAACATATGAAAGTTTTGGATTATTTCTTGGTTTGACTCTTTGGCTTATATTATGACTTCAGACTTCGGAGATGATTCCGCGGAAGTATAACAAATTTAACATATCTGTCACCCGTACATACTTTTTTTACTTTGTGGCAATTTACACTGCAAAAAAAATTGGTCGATATCCTGCCTGCTAACTTGACTGCCAGGTTTTATGGCAAACCCTTCCAAGCAAAAAATTCTCTTTATGGCACCAAAACACAAAGACTTGAGACACTTGATGCCACGCTATGCTGCAACAACAACTATTTTACAGTGTCACCTATGTACCTTTAAGCAGTTTTGAATCAAAGTACACTATTATGTTTGACTTGCACTGTATGTAATATTTCTTTCCGGTTACTCCCAAGGCCCCTAAAGTAGTCCTGTCGAACAAGCCAAGAATCAATGAGGACACGATTAACTCTAATGGTTTCACCAAAGCCAATCAAGGCGAGATCGCAGGAGGTGAAGTAATTAGGGATTCTACAGGTAAAGTTCTTGGTGGTGTTTCCTCACACATTATAGTAATGGCACTAATTTATTATCTGAGGCTAAGCTCTAGAGCAAGGTCTAGCAAGGTCTGATTTTATGTCTTCGAATGGACTTTGTTGATGTCTGTTGTGAGATGAATTCTCAAATATTCTTTTCCTCAGACTCTGTTAGCCTAGATAGTACTTGGTAAATTTACTGTGTGCTTCAAAATATCCAGAATTTATGATGTAGCCTTAATGTTTGATTCTCGCTGCTACTGTGAAACCAATTCTCTCGCATATTCTTTAGCCAACATGGGCTTCTCTTCAATGTATTAGCAGATTAGAGTCAGGGGATTGTCCTTATATTCGTAAACGATTTTGGGACAAGGAGAGTCTCCCTCGTTTCTTTTTGTTTGCTACCTGTTCCTCTCTACTAGGGTCAGGTTTTGGTCAGGTTTTTGTTCCCTCTAGCTCTTGTAGCTCTTTTTCTTTTTCTAATAAATGGGTAGGGGTCTGCCAAACCCTTCACCATCACAAGGTGGATTTTGAAAAATAAAATAAAATAAACAGTTACAATCCCTCAAGACAAATATCCATGAATTGCCGTCTACAACATAGATAGAAGTGTCTGCCGTCTCTAGATGTCAATTTGAGAGAAAGTTCATCTCTCATGAAGCCCTCTCAACACGGAGTTTGCTACTCGACCACACCATTTAATGGGATAAAGCTTAGATGATGATGATAACATAAAAAAAGGAGTATGATTCATGAAACAAGTGAGCAAAAATGGAACCATACTCTCCTCTCAGGAAAGTGGTGTATTAGCACTCTTGAGCTACAGCTTCCCTGATAAAAAAGAACATATACATCCACATGATGCACAGTGTGACATCCTAACTCTGGACTAGCCTACATCTTTACAAGGTAAGGAGCACAAGAAAAATGTACAAATATAAGTATATGAAATTATATCTTTGTTCCAAAAGCATCTATATAAAATATTTTTTACTAGTCCAAAAGGTAAGGAACACATGAAGTGGAAAATGTACAATATAAGTATATGAAATTATATCTTTGCTCCAAAAGCATCTATATAAAATATTTTTTTACTACTACAAAAGGTGCTCACAACCTCTCCAAAAGATCCCACCACTAATGCCACTTACAACTAATAATGTTCCAAAATAAACTTCAGCGCAACCTCACAAGATAGTTATCAAAAAGATTCTGTTTATAAATGATGCTATCCCAGGAAGAAACATAATGTACAACTAAGACAAGAATGGTAATGCAGGGCTATGGCTAACAGGTATGATATTGCTTAGAACATTAGCTAGCAGATTTGTATCCTCAAGGACCTCAACAATCATGGTTAGGTGATAGTCTTATGTTCTTTGACCTTTTTAAACCTTTTCAGATGCCTTTCAATATGAGAACTTTAATGATTTTATTGATAAGGAATTATTAACTCATACAGCATATTAATAAAATAGTACAGAAAATCACAGTCATGTAAACTGAATCTTCATAAATTATTACCATTCAGATATTAGGAAAAAGAGAAAGAAACCATGTACAGCTTTTGAGCTGATGGAAACAAATAAATTGCATTGGTAGATAGCTCATAGCATCTATGCTGGGCTAAATCAAAAAACAACATAAGCTACAGTTATATTTAAACCTTCCAATCATCTATATGTAAAAAGAGTGAAATATCAAAGACAGAAATAGGTAGATAGATTGATCAATAGAGAAGAGAAATGAGTAGTTCCCTAGCTGACCTTTGATATGTGTACCCCCAAACTTCTGTGTATTCCAGAACATTGCATGCATATGAAAATCCCCAAGTTCACACTTGCCCATCGTGGACCTCTGCAAAAAGATAAGTCACAGTCAGGATCCAGAAGTACAACCTAAACTTGAAATATAACATTGGAAATTCCAAGGTGAAAGATATCATGATCCCTTTTACAGTTTTTACAAGACTCAGAAAAACCAGCTCACAATGGGCTGGATCCTAAAATCCAACATCATTAGACAATTTGAATCTTACAATCTAAACAATATAATACATATGGATCTAATAATGTGAAATCTCAAAAAGTGTATGGTGTAAATGCCTCACCAGGAAGCCTTTTATTAGTAAGTATGACTAGAAAAAGTATTAGTATTTGAATAGAAGGTTCTATCATTGGGTAAATATATATACTCCCTTGTCTTCAAGGAAGTGGCAATAGATGAATTAGAAGGTCTAGTCGATTGGTACAAAAGGCACATTGAACGTCACTTTAGTTGATCTCTTGAGAGAAAAAAGTAACAAAAGGAAGAGGTAGACAACCAAAAGATAGCTGACTTCTGCAGGGAGAATTGTCACAACTTCACAATATTCTTCTTTCAGTGTGACAGACCAAACTAGAATCTTCCAGATTTTACTATGGCAAGTCTATACATGCCTTCCAGCTTAGCTCTTGGGGTATGACTATCTCTATACAGATAATACTCAAATGGCCACAGTAAAGCAGCTAAACTAGCACTTTACTATTCAAACAGACGTGATCCCTAAGTATTGAACAAGCCTACAAGTTAAAGAAGATAAACAGCCCAGCAGTTCTCAATGGCTCATGTCCACATCAAGAAGATCTGAAGACAATATCTTGTCCACTTATTAGTGCATTTGTTCCCAGCAATTAGGCGTATCTTAAACCGCTGAAAGAGAATAGAACCAGCCTAGGACATTCTTTTAAGAAAAAAATTAAGCTTCACATGCTTCGTTCCTTTTCTACCTACCGAGCAGGAGATAAGTATCATTTTCAGCCTTGTGAAGATCGAGGAGACTGACATCCTTTGTACAAAGATAAATTACTAATAGTAGTGTACCTGCTGGATCATAAAAAAATGTCCTGATGGGAGTAATGTCGAAAAGGAAGATGTTCACTAATAAGAGCATTCTGAATCACACAATACAAATTATAAAACAAAAATACTTTAAACTTTCATTGAATAAATAGAGAAGGAATTAAGTGCAGTATAATGTATCATTACAACATGTTCTATTGCTTTTATCAAGAATTGGGATGGCAAAAGGCAATAATCCATTCAACCTGTTACTAAACGGTAAATTAACTTATTTATTGACATTAAAAAACCTTGTTCATAATTATACTACTTGGAATGCCACAACTGAAATGGAAATTAAGATTTCAAAATGTAAGTATGTACTTACTTTCCCTTGCAATCAGCACACTGTTTATTCTCTGGCAATTTAAGGAGCCCCTCTAGGATCTGCACATTGATGGTAAAGAGAAACGCAAATCACATAAGTAAAAGTCTCACGCTTAAGAAATCATCGAGGCCCCTTAAACCAAAAAGATAAGTAGCACTTCCACCCAAATATGAGCAACAAGGAAGAGAACTAGGTAATGAATTAGAGAGTACCAAGTAAAGGTGAAAGTGCAGTAAAATGATTATCTATTTGAGTCATCAAATTTCTACCATAGACCACAAGAACCAATTTCCTATTAGCAAACTGATTCTGATCCAAGAGGGTGGACAAGTCCATCCACATAAACCATTACAATCAGGAACACCTTTAAAAAGATCAATTATTTCCAATGAAAGCCTTGTCCAGTATGGTTCTAAGAGAACTATAAAAGGTTATAATTAAATGGCTGATAGAATCTTTCTAGCACTAAATGAAAAAAGTTCCATTGACCAAGCGATCCCACTTAGCATGTGTTAATCACTAAATATGGACTGCTAAAGTCCATGATCTTGACTTTCAAAATCATCTTCATCCTCTTTAGCAAACACTACCAAAAACTATCAACAAAGCAAGGTGAAAAAAATTTCAAAGGACTTTCCTACTCTATGTTACAGCAGTAGGGTGGATTTGAAGAGAATGAGCAGCGGTCAGATGAACCTTTATCAGTAGGCATATAATGGAATAAACTAGTATGACACATGAGATGTGCACGTTAGAAGAGCTAAAATATTTTTTCACAGATTCATGTGATAGATTCAATATGATTTGTTTACTATTTGATTGGTAAAAGAAAAATTAATTACCAATCATACCTTTAAAATTGAAATTCTCAATACTGAACAATTGCATTTAAAACATTGGCACGCATGAACCACCATAGGTCTGTCCCTCAGAATCAAGATCAAATTATCTTGTTTACCACTGTTTTGTTTGACCAGGCAAGCTAAGGAATATGACCTGAAAGGATTAGAACACACTTTCAATTTCTTGTAGAACTCAGTGCTGGTGTTTTTCCACACTTGGACCAATACAAGTTGCCCCTGAGAACAAGTCTCAAATTATCTCATGATCACTATTTTGTTGGTGCTTTAGCTGTTTGGAAAGTTGCTTAGGGGGTGTTAGTCAATTGGGACATTTTCATACAAAATGGGATAATTGTTAAAGTGGAATAATATTTCGCTAGTGGGATATTTTAGTGGGATAACTAGGAACAATTTTGTGAAGCAGGATATTTTGATAAAATAACGTGGGATAAATTTTTATAATCATGAAGTATATATTTATGCATTTTGAAGATATAAATACTATTTATGTATTTTAAACTTACTATTATTAATTGATAATTACTTACAAAAATGTTCGTTACTATTAAATAACTTTTGGTTAGAGTATAAGATATTGACAATTATTATTATGATGATGGTCTAATGATGGTGATAACCATAATAGGAAATAAGTAAAGAAAAAAATAAAAAATAACAAAATAAATACGAGTTCTAGTTTTTTACCACATAGTTCCAAGCTAAAACTTGGAATAATTAAGAGACTAGAACTCTCATTTTTGTATAGAAAAATAAAAAAAGTGGGATAATTTTGTACAATTATCCCAATTCTAGTTTTGTTAAAGTTTTGCTTGACTAACACTGTAAAATTTTATTCTATTTTTAGTTCTATGTGACTAACACCTTAAAATTTTGTTCTAGGTTTAGTTCTATGTGACTAACACCTTAAAATTTTATCCCACAGATTATCCCAGTTCTAATTTTAAGTTCTAGGTGACTAACCCCCCCTTAGGGATTTTAGCTCATGCTTTGTAAAAATTTGTTGTGGCGAAGGTAGAAATGTATTATTTTGAAGGACCTATACTCTAGCCGTGGCTTACCCTTTTTCCATGAGTTGTCCAAGGACCAACATGCTTCAGAGGTTTCTCGGTGACACTATAGATGTACTAGAGATTGCATATTTTCCCCCTAATTCTTGTTGGTGGTCTAAAGCTTCTAGGAATTTTTTTGAAGATTCCTTTTTTATAAATTTGTGAATGATGTTGAGTTTATACTCCTCAGAATACAGTTTTTCGAAGAATGCTGCTCTTCAAATTAAACTCTTGAATGCTGACAATCTCAGGAAGAAGAATGTTATTTGCACCAACCTTGTGCTTCTTGTAATCAATATTAGAAGTGGCTTTCTCTTAAAATGATTTCAGATTTGTGCTACTATTGTCCATACGTTTTTGTTAGGGGGAGAGCTGGTTCTCTTAATACGTCATGGTCTTCTTGGAGAAATATAGGAATTAGAAGATGAATCAGATACAGGAAACAATATTGGATTAAAGTCATCTAGCGAAAAATAATAATAAGGCTATATCTATCGAAAATTTGGATTAAGGTAATCTAGCGAAAAAAATTTAATTATAAAGCTATATCTAATTTTTTATTTTCTTAAATTGATTTTTTATGTTGTTGATGTTGGAGAAGTCCTTAGTCTTTTCCTCTGAAGAAGAAGGTAATTTCTATTTTACTTATGCAAGAAGGAACTATGTAATCATACATGTGCTGGTGTTCTTTATGGTGCTCTAGCTGCTCAATGGATCTTACTGCTATTTGTGATGGATACTCCGCTAGCAGAGTTTGCATAGATGATTCTAAACTACGGAAACTATCCGTTTGGTAGTTGATGAGAATACATAGGGCTACCCCCACGTTAAGGTCCATTTTCGCCATAAGTTTGTAATGTTAGCGTGCTCATTATTTTCAGTAGTTTTCATTGGATGGGTCTACAAGAGCCTCAATTCTCATGACACGTCATGTATATATCTATGTTTTAGCCGGAGCTTTTGGCTCCATGATCCATCTTATGTTTAAAAGAAACGAAATTACCATTAAAGGTTGCCATTGGTTAAAAAAAAGCATGTAAAGAACATCACGCAAAAAATATCACATTATGCCCTGATCCCCAGATGAGCAATATCTGATCAAGAATCGTAGAACTTAGATCAATATGGCAAGAAAACAATTAGACGTAGGAGAATAATTGAACAAACCGATCGGGGTTCAATTTCGGTCAAGATCACACCTCTCTAGCATACAGAAAAACAAAATACAGATCGAATTGCTTCGTAATTTCGGTTGCAGAAATATAATAATGTCGTAAGAAAAAGAATTAATTCAGAGGAAATTGGAAAATGAGAGATTACAGGGAGCGGAGAGAGACCTTTTTGTGTCTGGCGTCGAGTTCCTTGGAGACCGAAGCTTTCTCGTTCATCTTGATGTTTCTTTTTTATCCTTGAATTTTCGAAGGAATTATTAGGGCGAGAACAACGCAGCTCGATTGAGGAATGAAATCCCAGAGAAGAGAAACCTCGGATCTAAAAAAATTTGCCACTCTTCGTAATAGAATGTGAACGGCGAGAACGGTGTTCTTTTATTCGTAGAGGACCCTGGACAATTATAAATTTTTCGTTCAACCCATCACCCACGGGACTTCTTTCTCTTCTAACAATAATTAATAATAATAGTAACACCCTACCATAATTTTGTACTTTTACGCAACCCCTCGTATATGGGCAAAGTTAAATTTGACACGGTGGCTGGTGATCCAAGTATCAAAATATCTAGTTAGCGCCGGATCGCGAGTTGATAATATCTACAATATCACGCAAATACGCCAATTTATTCATTTCAATTATATATTCTTTTTATTATTATTATTATTATTTCCTTACTTCTCAGCTCATAATATGAGTTACTCTGTTTGGACGGCGAAATGCTTCCTTCGGCCGAGATCGAACACTTTGTTTTCTGTATTAAATGAGGAGATTCAAAACAATCATTTTTATGGAAAAATAAATCGAATATGTGAATACACTTACCGTAGGGACGATCTATCTGACCTTTACCCTGATCATCATTTGAACGTCTTAATTTCTAAATATAAACGCACTAAATAGATCAACATTCTCTCTCGAACAAGACAAGGCAAGACAAGACAAACGTAATTATGTTACGCAACGCCCATAAATTTTAATAAATAGCTTGCACTTTATTTTTCTGCGGGAGGAAGATACCTCACTTGCTTCCGCAAATAACATTTTAAGATCGCAACATAATAACACCAAGCTATACAACAGAATTGGGCCTCTCGCTCCAGAAAGAAAGTGATGAACAAAAATCAACAACCTAGCGTCCTCGTTCCCGCTAATAATGCACTCAATTTTGTGTCTGAAAAGCTCAAAACGTTCCCAGCGTCTAAACTAAAAAAAGTAACTCAGTCGAGATCTAACGTCGATCTTCTCTGCGGCAGTTGCATGCTTACAATATCCTCCCTCGGTAAGTTGTAGAGCGTGCTGCTAGCTTCAGTGTTAGGATTGTTACATCTTTCTCCAAGCTCTGCGTCGTTAGGAAGCGAAGGTCGAGTGACTTTTCTGTTCTTTCGAATGACCAAGTAAAGTATCGCAGCTAAGTAAACGGCAATGCCTGAGAAGCCAAATATTCCTGCAAACGCCTTTGATACTGTTGTTATTCTGCTGTGGAGAAGCAACTTGATAAAGCCGGAGACTATATAATATGTGTTGATGGCCATGATCAGAGAGCTTATGATCCACGTGAATGCTGAGATCTAGTATTATAGCATTAAAAAAATCCATCAAAACAATAAAGAAGAATAATTACACGCATCAACAACAAAAAAAAGGAATCCTAAGCTATGATGAACTTACTGTAATATGATTGACATATGCCCCCATTTTTGTCTTGCTGCTAGTGAACTTCAGGAGGGGAATAAGAGCAAATGGAAGCTCAAAGGATAAGATCATCTGCCAAGATTTGTATAAATGTCAGCATGAACTAATTAAATAGGAGGAAATGTAAATTGATTAGCCAAGAGCGACTTTCAATTACTTTAGAATGGAAAGTATAGGCAAGTCTGGAGTTCCAATGATTCTTTAAAATAGCATCATTGGATCGCCGAAGAGTGTACCACAATTTTCTTCCGAGAACAATGGAACCCAATAGCAACGTCTTTCTCCATGAATCTAACACATACCCTTTGTTTTCTCACGCGCACGCGAGCACACACAAAAAAGGCCATATACCCTTTGCATTCTTTCATAAATTAGGCACCTCAATTAGGTTGTATAGAGATATTGTGAGAATAAGGTTGTTCTGAGATTTATGGATATAAGTTTTGGGAAGAAGAAATCACTGTAGGCTGTCTAAAAATCACAATAGATAGTTGATCCCCATCAAGCCCCGACAATGGAAGTTACAATCAGATGACTTTCTAATCACTGCATCCGCAACTCTACAACCGCTACGAACACGACATCATCTCTGAGATGATTGATCTTGATGGTTGCGACAACAGCATGACTAATATTATATTAGCAACTATTAGAGATGCTGATGAGTAGTGTAATGATTTCAGAAATAAAAGGTTGGACTTAGCTGGTGAGTTGCTTGGTAGAGAGATGTGGGCAAATATTCGTCTAAAAATCACTATGGATGATTAATTCCCATCAAGTTTCAACAATGAAAGCTACAATCAAATAGCTTTCGTGCCGACAAACGAAGGTTGCAAATAGGAGAAAATAGGAGACTTTTCACACAGATCGAGAAGAGTTACAATTCAACGACGCTTCCGACAGCTGACGAAAACTCTATTCAGTGACCTTCACCGACAGCTGACGAAAACTCTATTCAGTGACCTTCACAATCAACAGTGAGAGTTACAATCTGACGACTCTTATATCCTATAACAGGCAAAGATTAAAAAACAGTAGCCTTTGCAGTGTTATAATGAACGAGGTTACAAGTCAACAACCTCTCTCAAACGCAGAACTCACTTCTGCGTTTCTCAAATTCAAAACGCAAGGTCCACATCTGCGTTTCCCAAATTCAAAACGCAGACGAACTGTGCGTTCTCCAACAGACGTCCAACTCTGCAACGCAGAGTTAAAACACAAAACGCACGAACTGTGCGTTCTTCGGCACACACTCAACATTGCGTCCCAAATCCAGGACGCAGAGTTGAGAACTCGACACACGAGCGGCCTGTGCGTCTCAAATCTCTAACAGAGATTTAACTCTGCGTCTCAAGCCTTGGACGCAGAGTTAAGGCCCAGAACGTCAACTGGGGCATTTTGACTTGTTCAAACACAAGCCGAACGGCCTCAAAACCATTATCCCACGTTCTGAGGGATTTTCGCCCACTTAAGAGCGGATTTAGGGGTTGGTTACACCCCTAATCCCCCTATAAATAACCGACTTACTCAATTGAGTAAGGGGTTGACGTGTGCTGGCATCAAAACCGCATAAGGTAAACAAATCTTGGCAGCTTAACCGCACGGAGGAGGAGATCTCTCTGAAGATCAACAAACTACCTAGTAGTTAGTCCATCAAATCAAAGGGGATCCCTTCATCAGCGGCAAATCAACTTGGCTATTAACCGAATCTTCGGTTCTAACAACTCTGTTACAGAATTTCAACTCGCTCTGAGTTCTAAAACTCATTTAAGAGTTCGTAATTAAGCTTGCAACGCAAGTTAATTACATCAAACCGGTTATTCGGTTCTCAACAACTCTCTTCAGAGTTTTCAACTCGTTCTGAGTTCATTAAACTTGTTAAGAGTTCTAAACCGGATTCATCACACAAGTCAATTATTCTCGTGAGATAGTACGGTCGGATCGTCAATGGAGAGCAAGTAAGACGCAAGCAATTGAAGGAGGCACTCCATCGCTACCAAGAAGAACCCAGTTTTAAACAAAGGGGAGAATCAAATTCATTCTCCTCTCTTTTGTAATCGGAATCCAAATTGTAATTGATTTTGAGAGAATACAAGTCAATTTTTCTTTCATTGTCTTTTTATTGCAAATTTCCAACAAACAATCACCTAATGCCTTGAGAAAATAGAGCTTGGGCATGTTTATCTAGGGTATAAAGAAAAATAATGACAAAAAAAGCTTCATTTGTGAGGTGGAGCTAAATGAATCTTTTCTGCACTTATCTTTGTCATCAATCACCCCTTTCCCCACTCCATTCAACAGACTCGCTATTTGGGAACTCCAAAGAACTAACTTTAGTGGATACAAGAATGGTCCAAAAATTAGTTTTTAGTTTTGCAAAACTTTGGCCACCTTTGAACTGGTTTTTTAAATTCAAACTCTAGTCATCAAACTAGTTTTCTTTTAGACCAATCCCTACATTAACCAACTATAGCCTAGTTAAGCAAAAGCTAGTTCAAACTCAATCTTATTTTGGAATTGCCGAAAATAGACAGGGAGTGTTTGGCAACTCCCCAACTAACCTATTCAGTCCACTAACCGGTTAAGGTTTAGTTTTTGTTAGGTGAAAATTGGGCCAAGATCAAAACTAGGCTTTTTTTTAGGTCCAAAATTGACCCGTTACCCCACTAACAAGTCTCCATAAAAAGAAGGCGGCATCTTAGCTTGCAGATGAGAAGCGTAAAGTTTTGAGCCCTTGTATTTTTTGATAAAACACCTCAATTAGTAGAAGTTATTTCATAATTGCTACAATCCAGTGTCTCTATTTGTCATTAAAGTTAACTTGTAAAAATAACATGACAGATGCAAGCAACTTCTAGGTTCAAATATTCAGATTTCGAGAGTATACAGCTGATCATTCGTTAACATCTTAATTATTAAGAACAGAAAGAACTTTACCGATGCAATGATGATGAGCTTTCCAGCCCCAGTAGATCCACCAATTAGTGCTACAATTAAACTGGGCACAATTGCCAAGGACCGTGTTAACATATTCCGTATCCATGGTGTAATACGTAGGTCAAGAAAACCCTGTAAAGAAAGATAAGCCACTGGTTGAAAAGGAAAATAGTAGCATGTAACAACTAATAACAAACGATAGGATATATTCAGATGGCTGTTCCATATCTCCAATGAATACATCTGCATTTGGCTAAGAATATATCTGTTTCTTATTGCTACTCTAGTATAAAAGCTAGATAAACTACAGTATAAAAAGGCCTGGTTCTATTTTACTAGGGAAAAAAATGGAGGAAGTGACTAAGTTAAAAGAGGTAAGAGAGTGGAAAGCTTTATAACTGTCCATTATATATACGATGGATGACCAACATCATTAACATTATATTAATGACTTAAAATGTCTCTGGAGGAGAGCTTGCATGTTTTTTTTTTTTATCCTTTAACTCAATAATCAAGTCTCATTTAGCAAAAACCTTTCCTTGACAAGTGAAAGGTCATTAAATTCAGTACTTTCCTCATTGACATTCTAGAACATGGGAACTCATGAGACCAACATGGCTTTGATTGTATCATGTACGTAAACGGGAAAAATAATAAAGAACACATATTCATTTAGGTAATTAAAGATGATTCAACACAAGTGCCCCTGTCTCTCAATGGTAAAAAACTCTCTATAGTGTACAAGAGGGTGGGAGTTCATTTCACTTATGCCGAGCTTGGCCAAAACCTCCCAAAACAGATGATTAGACATCGGTCGATAAAGAAAAATAGAACAGTTGGATAATACAATACCTGCATGACATATTGTCCGGCATAGGTTCCTGTAATTGTAGAACTTTGGCCAGATGCTAGTAAAGCAACCGCAAATAGTTTAGAACTCCAATTTCCCAGGACATTCTGTCAAATAAAAGAAGGTAAGTTAATATTTCCATTGATGATGATGAGTGTATTAACGACAGCAGTTTCAGTTCAGTATGCTCTCAATTTCCTAAATTCTATGGAGCATACTATGGAAATGGAATATGATTCCAGCTGTCATTTCATTGAATTTTGTGCCCCAAAGAAGAATATGGGTCCCTTTAGAAAATCATATAATCTACCTCTACTACTACATGAACTAGGAGACTTTGAAGGCTGGATTCCTGGTCTGATATACATGAACTACAATCTCTCGTCCAGCCAAAAGAGTAGGCACTAAGAACTTGAAAATTGACATGACCAGATATTCAAAGCTAGTACTAACATAGAGGGTAAATATCAACTTGATAACCAATTATAAGAACTTGTCTAATCCTTTATGAAATGTTCCTGACTTTGCCTTCTCCATTACCAGTCATTCTGGTGAGAGGAAACACTTGGATGCAGGTGAGGAAAATACTAAGGAAATGAGGCGTAAATTTAACCAGATATTTGTTTTAAGAAATAAATATGGACTGCTAGATATGCACATAAGCTTATGGGAGACGAGGAGCTGTAAACTAGTTGGAGAAAGAGAAATGTCATGCATGGCAATGTAAAGTTAATTTCAAAATCATCACTCATCAACTGGTATAACTGAATGATTTGAGAAAAGAGGAGAGCAACTTCCTTGTACTAACCACTTGTGAAGACTAGAAAGATAGTCATAATGCAAAATCCATTGCATACCTTGAGAAGAAATGATGCTTTGTTAAGATCAAGGTCCTGGCAGTTCATCTGATCTTCTGGGTCAAGATTTGTTGAGCTGCAGACAGCACCGCTGACGGAAATAACAGATACATTGATTAAAAAGGCAATAGCAAGAGCAAAAGCACTCTCATAATTGTAGAACCTACACGCCTCCTGAAACGTAGACAAAATTGGTAAATAATATATCATACACTGAATGCATATATAATGTTCTTCAATAGTATATTGTTCATTGTCACTTAACAGTTATATAAGTACAATAAGATCGATGCATGTCTCCGAGAAAATGTCTATGTTGAAGTGTATAATTGTTTTTGACATAGCTCGGAGGCTGGAAGCAACAAGATGTGATAAAGAACTTAATGATACCTTTTCCTCAAGCATTGACATAATAAACGTTAATTAAACTATTAAAAATAAAAATTAGATGTTTTACTTTAATCCCATCAACTGAACGTGGTACTTTCCTAGATAGCACCAAAGCAGAATGAAGAAAGAGATTATGCCTGCAGAAATAGTATGATAAAAGTCATGTTCACAATATTTTGAACAAAAAGTTACCCAAAAAAGTATTTTGAACAAATCTCAACAGTGAATGAGAAGCTTACGGCATAACCATGGCTCCAAGCAATGAAATAGCAATGCCAGTGGCACCATCTCCTTTAAGTTGAGGAACAAATAGTCCCTTCAGAACTTCTGAGGTTTTGGGCTTGGAGTAACCAAGCTCAACAAGAAAACAAACAGCCATTACAGCAACCAAGAAAGCTATGAGAAACTCAAGTTTTCGAACCTGCAAAAAGATAGTACCAGAAAATCATTTACAATATAAAGGATCAACAGAAATAGGCATACATTATATTTTAAGTTCACAACTTAATCTCTTTATCTATATTTATTAGAAGGTCAGTGTCGGTAATAAAAGTACATAACTATTTACCACTTTTGTTTTTTGATCAGTCAAAAGTCTAATCCTTTCTTATTAATAAGCAAACCCTACTTAACAAACCAACATTCTATTATAAATAAATTGCAGAAGAAGGTCCAAATGAAATTTCTTGAGAACTTCAATGCTTTAATAGTATTGATATAAAGATTGTGCCATATATAAGTGTATTAGCATACCCCATATTGTTGTAGTAATAACAGCACTAAAGTGCTAAGACCCGTGATAAGAACACCGCACCATATCGGGATTTTAAACAGCATGTTCAAAGCAAAGGCTGTCCCGATTACTGTAAAGTAACAAATGAGAAAAAATGAGTTAAAAGATAATCAAAATCACAACGTAATGTAGATTACTGGCAGAGAAAATTTCCAAGTGTGAAACCAAATTGAATAAACATAGATGCACATGTACCTAGCCAACTGATCGTGCACTAACTTTTTTTTTTGGGTGCGAGGAATCTTGGCTTAATACTAGGCAAGTAAACCCGGGCACGTGAGGCCCCCTTTCACAGTCCAGACCCAGGCAAATAGCATAAGCATTGCAATGCCTAAGAATTACAAATTGGGGATAGGCATGCTGTGGACACGGATCGACCCTTTGGCCTTTTAAGCCAAAGCCCCAAGTCCCAACCACTAGGCCACTTGTTGGGGGTTGTGCCAACTGTTTTTATTCCATTCTAGATTTATCCGTTTATTTAGAGTAAAAGTTACTTGATACAAGTAGGAACATTGACAAAAAGGAATATCTTTCCAGAAGCCTTTTTTTCCTAGATCATAAAAGATTTACTGCTCAAATATAAATATAAGAAGTTCATTTAATTAAGTTTTGTTACGCGATCAAGTCAGATGAGAACTGTATGATTGCTGCATATTAACTTTATTTTCAAAAAAGTGTGGAACTTTATTTTCAAAAAAGTGTGGAACTTTTCTGCAACCTGATCATCAACAGCAGTGAATAATAAAATTAAATAAATGAAATGAAATAGTAGCGAGGTAAGAGATAACACCTTCGGGAATATCACATGCAACAACTGCGAGCTCTGCAAGCAACCAGAGAATGAAGTTTGTCACCTTAGGATATTCAGCTCTGCAATGCTCAGCCAAATGTTTTCCTGCAATCATATGCACATTTTTTACATATGGACATAGATAAATACATGAATGTGAAGATAGTTGGGTGAGTTTGAAAATAACAATATGGATTCAACAACAACCTGTGACAACTCCCAATCTAGCTGCAAGAGATTGGATCACAAGAGCAGCACAAGAGGCCACTAGTATGATCCAAAGTAGCTGACCAACAAAGTATATGCAGCATTAGAATCCAAAGTTACTCTACAATATGCACAATATGCTTTAAAGACAAATATCCTATAAAGACATTCAAAGTCAGAAAAGTACTATTGTACTATTTAAAAGGATTCAAAGGCAACACATTAACCAAATAAGTGAAGAAAAAAAATTCAATACAAGAAATCAAGGATGCACCTCATACTTGTATTGTGCACCAGATTGTAGATCCGTCTCAACTGCATGTCAAGAAATAATGCAAGTTTGACGTTCAAAAACTCAATCGCTTGAAATTTTACAGGGAAAGAAAGTAGAGTAATCGAAAATCTTACAATTCCCAGGATCAATATATGCTATAGATACAAGAAAACCAGGGCCCAAATATGAAAAGAAGTTTTTCCAACTTGTTTTCTGCAGAAAAGGTTCCAATTAGTAGCCAAAAAAACTTAAACGCTCATGCCAATCCTTACTAAAATATGTTGACAAACCAAGCTAGTAACAGTACAAGCTTGGGTGGCATGAATTTACCAATATTGGGGGAAACCGATGACTAGTAGCAACCAGTATAAAATATAGAAGCAAGTTGGCAAACAGTATCAATTAAAATGCTAAAATCTAGAAGTTCTTATAGGTATGAGCATAAAGAAACAATCTGAAGAGGTAAAAAAGAAAAAGAAAGACATCACTCAGACCTTTTTCGACGTCGACACTGTCATTTTTTCGTTTAGAGCAAAAAAAAAAAAAAAATTGATAGCACAGGAATAATGAGAAGTAAATAAATGGATAAAACTAAGAAGTTTCAGTATCCATAAGCCAGACATACCCACGTCTTAGAATCTCCCAAGTCCAACAAATCTATTAAGATTGATCATCTAATTGAACCATGATAAGTAGTAGATCAAAATAGCATAAGAAATAATACCTCAGGGACAACAATTTGATCGACGTCGACACTGTCAATTAAAGGCGCAGTAGGACCGGCAGAACTACTGTGATTGGTGTGGCTTGTGATGAACTGAGAGTGTGAAGAATTGTGTGCTGAGGGAGCCATTTTTGCTTCCTGCCCACAAGTACAATTCCTGCACCCCCAAACAAACATATATACATCACATCACAAGTTCTTTTCTTTAGAAAAAATTAACAGCCAACCAAATGGAATCTAGTTCATTCTTTCTTTTAAAAGAAAAAACCATCCTAGGTTTCAAATTGCTAAAAGAGAAGCTTTCCATTAGATGAGACGAAGAATCTGAACCCAATAGAAGGGACAAGAAAAAAGAAGAATAATAATTTAATCCAACAAAATTTCTCATACCCAAATGAGTGGAGGGTAAGCAAAATAGCATGTGACCACTTTTTTGGTGTAGTTCCGATTACAGATCAAAAGTTTCGAATTCAAGATGATCACATCAAAAGTATAATATTTGACTGTGCTAGATGATTAGGAATTTTTTTTTGACGCACTTGGAATTAAATAAAAAAAACAACAAAAGAGCAACTTATATTGGATAATTAATTTGAGATTAGAGAAGGAAAATATGAGAAATTTATGCTTACTTCAGTGACGCCCGTTCTTTTGAGAAGTAACAAAAAGTTCGCCAATGAAATTGCTGTTATAATATATTAGAACAAATTTTCACTGTAGACCCAAATGAGCTTTAAATTACTAAAATCGACTTTTTTTTTAATTATCAAAATCGACCCGTTTTATGCCACGTAGGCTTAATCTCGTTTCCTAATTAGTCGGGGTTGCCAACCCCACTATTTAGGATATTATAAATCGGGTTTTAAGGCTTCTAATTGGGGTTTAACAACTCCTAAACAGTCGGGGTTGGCAACCCGACTAATTAGAAAACGGGAGTAAACCTACGTGGCATAAAACGGGTCGATTTTGACAATTAAAAAAACAGTCGATTTTGGTAATTAAAATGTCATTTGAGTCTACAGTGAAAATTTATTCTAATATATTACTATCACATGATCAACTGGGCAGTTAAAAAATTATAGTAGAACCTTCGAGAGCATATAATATTCCGTCAAACAGAGAACTGTATAAAAAATGATGAATTCCAGCGCCAATCTCGTTGGCTGATTAAAAAAACCCAGATAAACCTTAGCTAAAAACACCATCACATGAGCAACTAATAGAAACCGGAGTAAAATAGCTAACGACCAAGTGTAAAGTTTTGATGAGAAACAAACTTGATGCCAATATATTTAATTTCGAAAGATAAAAACGTGATCCCTCTGCAAATGCAAAAAAAACTAATTGCCCAGTTCCAAAAATGTGCAGATTTAAAAGAAAATCCCATATTTCCAGTAAAATTAACACTTGGTCAAAGTTAAAAGGAATTGTGATTAGCAACAGCCAGGTCAGATGAAGGAACAAATTCAAGCAGAGGTTAAGAGAACTCACAAGTTAACAACCATTTTGCCAAGAGATGAAAGAAAATGATAGAGGGGAGAGATGATGATGATGATGATGATGATGATACCTTATAAAGTTGAGATTTTTAGAGTGAGAGAGTGAGAAGACAGAGAAAGAGATCGCCTTCTCTCTCTCTCTCTCTCCCCCCACGTCTGCTCCCTGCTCGCCACCTGTTAATCTCTCTCTCTCTCTCTCTCTCTCCGTGGCTCTCTGTTTTATAGAGAAGACGGGGTCACGAGGTCCACCGGTTCACTTGAACCGGTTTCAAACGCGAGGGAGAAAAATAAAATAATTATTATCCTGTTTTGAAATAATGAATCATAGCGCGAGAGATCATTTTGCAAATTAAGCACGCTCTCAATTATTTCACGAAACTAAGTTATCAACCTAGCTATATACATCAAGCAATCTCAGTCTATTTTAATCTGAAGGCATTTGTCATTTTCTTAAAATTTAACATTTTTCTAGGTGCCTATCGAAATTTCTACTAACTTTCTTTTTCCAATCTGAATTATCCTAATTTACATGGAATATAAATCGATCTAATGTATTTTCTTATATGAAAATTTGAAAAAGTCTCTATTCAGCGTTTGGGCAGTTTGGTGGTGTTTACATCTCTAACGCTGACTTAAAAAAAAAAAACTTTGATAGAAGATAATCATAGCTTTTTAATTCGATATTTTAATCAAAAGTTGTATTTTGTTAACTTCTGAGGTTTACGATTCCAGAAGATAATCATTTTTTTTTTATTTAAATCCGAACATGAACGTGGAAGAAAAAAATAAATTGAGCTCGTGTTAAGCCGCCATCCTCTACCCTCTTTGGACCCACATAATGGCCCAAAGATTGGGTGGGCTCGCATCTAAAAAGAACGGCCTAGTTTGTCCAATCCGCTATAGTTTGTGCACCATCAGCGCGCAGCACCAACATTTCCTCAAAGCTGTAATTGGGTCCCATTTCAGAGGTAGCAATAGGGTTAAATGAAGTTAGAGTTGAAGAATTAAGGAATTATTTGTCACGTGACAGGTAGCGATTCGGTCAGAGCTCGTACTGTGTTGGAGTCTTCCAACTTCCAGAAGTTGAAAATGGCACTTTCGGTGGGCCCCATGTGACATAGGACAAAAGGCGTGACACGTGTCTGGTCTTATCTTATCGCATATACCAGCTGCATTAATTCTCTCCATAATTTCGAACCCGGCCTGCCCACTTTCAATATAATAATTAACCATTTGTTAATAATCCTCTGCTGCGATCCACTTCTTGCGCTCAACATCTTCCGTACTTTTTCCCCCTGTAATAAAATGACTTTCTTTTTTTTTTTTTTTTAGTTCCATCCCAGATCATTAATTACAGCCCGATCAAGTCTCATGAAAGGCTATAAATGGTTGGTTTATTAATTTATTATTTGATAGATACGAACCAATTCATGAAAGGTTTAGGGCGCGTTTGCTTGGTTGTTTTTGGGTGTGAAAAGGCCCGAAAGTCTGACACTATGTTCCATCTGTGTCAGACTTTCGGGCAAAAACGCCTCTAAAAGAGGTGTTTTTGCCCGAAAGCCTGACACAGTGTCAGGCTTTCGGGCTCAAAAAATTCCAACCAAACGCGCCCTTATGACCTTGGCGCGTGTGTGCATAAACTTAATTACTTACGTAAATGACGAATGCAAATGCATGTGACTGCTAAAAATGAATGAAGATAACGACGGTCCATCTTTAATTAATTGCCAAAAAAAACTTTCTAAAGCAGCGGTAATAATGTACAGGAGCCCTATGCTTATATTAGGAAATAGATAACATCATTCCCTCGGTTTGGAAGTTAAATACCGTAAAGAAGCAAAGTGTAGACAAATAGATAACATATATCATTCCCTCGATCAGATTCTAATTTATGGTTTTTTTATTTTAAAAAAAAAGGAAGAAGAAGAAGGAGGAGAAGAAGAAGATTTTTATTTTTATTTTCCTTGTAATACTTATTGCTGGATGCATAATTAAAATATTAATAGTAATATGCATTTAAAACGAAAGGATACAGAACAAACGCATTGTTAATGTAACTCATTTCCTTAGCCTCAATACAGTGCAAAGTGTACGCATTGTTAATGTAACTCATTTCCTCCGGGCAATCGATCACCAGATACTACTTACTTAATAAGAGTACTTTGTGTTCACTAACTTTTTGGTATGAACGTGGTAGAAAGTCCACGTTTAGTATGGATATATCAAATGCAAACGTAAACATTCGAAGATACAGAACAAACGCAATTTTCAGTTTTGCTTCGTAACGACGCCGCCAAACTCTTCAAAGAGCCGCTCAATGGATCTCCTTGATGTCGATTTGTCATTAACCTCAAATGCTTTCAGCTCCTCTCTTTTACCTGAGAATTAATGAGATAATTAATGTGTTTTTCGAATGCATAACGTACTTCAAATTAGCGAGTGTTATTATTAAGTAGCCGAGGAAAACGCTACTACGTACGTACTCACCTAGTTTGTCCAGGTCTTTGAGTGGAAGATTCGTTCCGTTTATATCAAAAAATTGATGGAAGTTTCTCATAAGCTCTGCAGTTTTGGCACAGACTAAGATCTCCCTCTGATGTAAAATGGATATCTGCATTAGCAGTCACGAATACCGTACATGCACGTTTAATTATGCAAACAAATAACATGATATGTTCTTCCGATACCTTGAAATTCTCTGAATCATCATAATATCCTGAGACAATCATGAGTAACCGCAATTTCTCTGATTCTGAGGAAACAGAAACCGCTATCAAGAATATTTTGCAACTGCTTTTTAATCCTCTCCCCTACTGACCGAAAACATGAAAACTGTGAATTTGTACCTTGAAATTGAGTTATTTTCTGTACAGCTGAATCCTCATGAGCAAGCAGTTCCTCAAGTGAAATCCCTATGACACTCATGCCTATGTTTGAAATGCTTAATCTAGAGCCAGTGCTATTAGGCTTACCTGATGCGTTTATCATAATAGAACAATCGTCACAAGCAATGCGCGCAAGATATAGACTAATTATAGCATATGAAACTTCAGTTCAAAAGGATGCAAAATTGAGGAGGGGAGACCATATCGGTTTTGAATGTTTGAAGATTGTTACCTGCAACTCTAGTCCACTTCTTAAATTCTCGACGAAGTATATCCCTCACCTTTAGATCAGAAATATCATGCATCTTGCGCTTTACTGCAAACAGGTTAGTTGTATTCATATCAAAGTTAAATCAAAGTGAACGTGTATCAGGGGAAATCACTATTACTGAAAATCAGTATATTTCATATAGTTCATACCTTACGATCAACATCAATAATTGTCAGTTGTGCGGAATATGCTCAATCTAGAAACGAGTAAATGTTCGAGACTTACATAGTTCATAAAGGCCATTGGATCCAAATCGACCGGCTCCTTTAAGCAATAGTGTTGTCATGTATTTGTCTTTTGAAGTGCAACTAGAATTAGTCAGACTTGCTGTGTCTAACAGGATACCTGCTAACTGAGTTAAAATCACAAAGCATAAATTTAATTACTAACGAACCTCTAAATCTGATTTCAATGCAAATTAGTGAGCAGAGGTTGACAGGTATAATCACCAGAAGTCTACAAAATCCTTGGCCTGCGAGGATTTCTGGTGATGACACTGCAAACATTTCAGCTATGAGTGTGCAACATGAGCAGTCCTGTTAAGTTAAAGAAGCATATATCTTAGATAAGGATGTCATGGTTATTTCAATGAGTATAACAAAAGGGGTAGATAATTTTTGTTTTTTTTTTTTCTATGCAGCTTAACATAATATATCAGCTGTTTCAGTGTGTACTACGACCGAAGAATTGTACCCGTGCCATGGTTATTTCTTCGACCATAGGATATTGTAAATCCACCTATATTTCAAAACCAAATAGAAAATGAAATCATATAAAAGATGAGTAACAGTTATTTATACATTTTTTTCTTTTAAAAAAAATTATCTACATATGAATTCTAGAGGAACAAACATACTTCTTTGCAATGGAATATTTCAGTCACGGCATCCTTTAATCCCTGTATGAATGAGAATGAGTTTTGTCAATGATTGTTACGCTTCAGTATAGTGAATTAGTAAAATACCTCTTGCTTTGCAGGGAGCTTGTTTCCATTCACGAGTACTATCTTCAAATTTCCAAATTGATCATAATAGGGAAGCTCAACCTGTTATTCGTTAAGCGTGATTAACAATCAGTTCTGTAGTTCCACTAGCATGATCAATTATGAATCTTTAAACATAACCTAAGAAATTCAAACTAACATAAAACTAAATAGTTATGACCATTGACGAACACCAAAATTTTAAATTTTGTGGTAAACTGGACTGAAAGAAATTTTCAATTTTGAAAGCTAACTAATAACTTAACAAATAGAAAGCGCATCGAATTGTCGCTGAAATAATCTCATTAGTACCTCATCAACAAAAATGAAGCTTGCTTCATCCATTCCAGATGATTTAACCAACCATTTGAGCTCAGGCCGAGTGGCTAATTCTGCTCGCTTCATACTAATGATGGGCACCACATAAGACTGGCTATTGTTTCGAGTCATGCTTAAGAAAAACGCATACATTATGGCGCAAACAAAACACGCCACATCTGCAAACAACAAAGTTTTCAAAAGTATGCTAAAATGTGGATGCCATCAAAGAATATGCTGGATTTTTTTTTTTTATGAATTTACCCGTAGCATCCTGTCCAATTACAGCGTACAGGTATCGTCCTGGGACCCCAGCTCTGATTTCATCCTTACAAGCCTTTAAATATTTATTCAGCTTATCAATGCTTTTGCATAAAACTGATTCATCATCTCGCATCAATTTCCCCTTATAATAAGATGCGGCACACTGAGGCAGGTAACCCTTATGCACGTCTTCATTCTTTTTGCTTGTTGTAAATATCTCTGCTTCCTCTTCATCTATAGGCTTCGAATCTCCTAATTTCATATCTTTGTTGGCGATATTCGGTGCATTTTGTTTAGATTCAAGCTTCCAAATGTCTGATAACGATCGTGATAGATTTGGCTTATCTTCAACTGGTTTTTGACTGTTCCTTGTAGAATTTGATCTTCTGATGCCTTCGAATTGTGGATGATTTCTCTTCCGCGCATATGGTACCTGGAATATTTCAAATTGTACTAGTTGCCACAAGGAACCCGAGTATTTTGGGCACTTACTAGTTTAATTGTTAGGGGGGTGGAAATGGCATTTCAATTTAAAAGTTAATATGCTCCAGATTTATTTGGAAAACCAGGTAACTAATATGTAGTTGCTTTACAAATTTCTGCGTTCCTTTTTTAATCTCCAACCAATATTAAACCAGCTCGATCTCATGAGGTCATAAAAGAAAACGTTGTAAATACACCCAAGAAGATCATGAACTCCTCCTATTTTTGAACTAGAAAACCATATAGCTAGCTTAACATGTGTATGTATTTGCTCCCACCTTCTTAATTACCGAAATGAATATACTGCAAATTTCTAGTTTGCTGTTTGAAAATATTAGTGTTATTTAGTAGCAATATTACAGACTGACCCGTTCCTTTTCCGTCGTTACGTCCGGATTCGAGCTCCTCATCTTGGATGGAGGTAGGGAGGGAGAGAAATTAATTAAAACTTTGCTAATGAAAGAAGAGGGCAGTTAATTTTTTGAGAGGAAGGAAGACAATTAAATAACTAATTAATTAATTGATGGGGGAGAGAATTCCAAAAGTTTTTTCTTTGTAGTATACGCCTTTGAACTTTGGTGGTCTCAGCTCCCTCGTTCCTTTGCTCTTGGACTGACTTTATTCACGCCTCCCCCTGTTTCGTTTTTTCGCGTTGTGTTCATGTTTATATGACCGTTATTTGGTAGTTAGAGTTCACTCACATTTGCTACTGGTAGGCCTTTTTACGTAATTGCAGTCAGGCCATAAAGCTAAGCCCAATAACGAAACAAACCTAGCTAGAAAATACTTGAGTTTAGATGGGCCGCCAAATGTAGGCCACATTCGCACATCCGTTATGGGAGGTATTACAATGCCCCCGCGAATGAGTCCTAGACTTCAAATTAAGGGCCCAAATCAGGAGAACAATACAGACGACTTAATTGGGCCCCACCGGTGTTGAAGTTCAACTTTTCTTCCTTTCATTAAAAAGCGGGCTTCGGAATAGAAACAGAGAGCAAGACTTCATTTGTAGTAATTAATTAAGATGTTAATTTTTCTCGTATGTTTCAGTAAAAAACCATCCCATTTCCTTGTGTACGTAGAGTTGAAAATTTGGATCTAATATATATCATAGGTCCCGTATACCTCTTTTGAGAGTGGGGGATATAGACATATGGATCATTAGAGACTAATTAAGGTTCTCTTTCTTTATTCCTCTCAAAAGGACCAATTAATTTGTTTCATTTTTTTTATAATAATAACGGACTTACTGGCCAATTTTGTAAAACCTGACAGCCAAGTTAGGATTTATCTTTTTGAGGAATAACAAAAAAAAATTAAGAAAAAAAATAGCGTGGGGGTTTAATTTGGTAGTGATCATTATTGGCCTTGGGGAACACATTGCGGTCAAATCCTATGATTAATGTCAACTAAAGTAGGAAAGCAAAAGATGCCAGGAGAGAGGGATGGAATGGATGGGGGGCCAGGGGCCTGAATTTAAAAAAAAAAAAAAAAAAAAATCACGTTTTAGCTTGGAGATTAAGATTTGATGATATCTGTTGTCCCCCCGTAGGTCTTACTCAAAGGTGGTGGTGGACAAGATATGATGACAACAATCTTTTGACCTTTTAAGACCTCCCAATTGATTTATGACCCTTATTAGCCATGCAACAAAAAGACTTCCTACTTAGCTTTTCATCAAGAATTTGGTGGGAGATTGCGATTGGTAGGCTTGGACTTTTCTGAATAAATTGCAACTATATTCATATTCTCTTTCGACCGGTTTCAAATTAATTAAACCAAAAAAAAAAAAAAAAGGCCTAATATGTGTACCCCAGTGTAATTAAGTATTTAGAATATGTAGATCAAGTTCAACGGAGCGGATCATCCACAATATCACTCAATCATGTGATTTTAGATGCGTCGAGGAGGAAATCCCCTCCTATGACAAGGATACCCATTAATCTCTCTCGTCATATATATATTCTTCCAAATTCCAGCCTAAGTAATGACCATATCGATCACGTGCATGATGCCTCTGAGATGTGGTAAAGAGAAGAGGAGCTAGGGCGCTACGTAACAAAAGTTATATAGGAGAAAATTATATATGTATATATAATTAATAAGAGATTGTTATGATACATGTGTGGGATGGGGTTGGCTTGAAAAGAATCCAGGTTAAATCCAAACAGACGAAGACAAAGCTTGGTCCAGGGGGGGAGGGAGGAGGGAGAAAGTGCATGCTACGACACATCGATCCCTTCGATATGAGTGAGAAAGTGTCTTTTTCTCCTGTCTAGAGAGAGAAAGGGAGAAGCTACCGACCGAAATGAGCTCGCGTAGCTGCAAGCTATAGCTAGCTAGCTAGCTTGGAACTGAATCATGATGGCGACGGACATTACATTAATTAATTAAGAAGGGTGTGTTAATTTGTGGAGGTCAATTTTTGACCCGGGGAACCCCACTGATTCACTGAAGAAGGCCTGCAGGTTGAGCTAAGCTTAGGGTTTGTTAAGTGATCAGGAGAGAAGGGAGACGAACGACGGTACGCATGTACGTATAAAGGGTACTGTGCTTAATTGGATCGAGGTCAATTAATTTTTTTGCCTAGGGAACACTGGACCAGCACTAAGGGCCCACTTCTACTCGAACAATATTGGTTCGTTAATATGTTTTGATTGATGAGTTAGCAAACAGCAATTTTTATGAGATGTGATAAAACTTAATTAAAATACTTAATTACTTTTGTAATGCTCTAGGTAGACCAACGCCAATGAAAAAGTAATGGAGAGAGATGAAGACGCGCATGTATACACAGTAATTAAGACACGCTAGCTAGGTAGTTAAATTAACATCAAGGACAAATAATGTATAGTTACCCTTTGTGCTAATTAAGTATATATGTAAAGTTAACTTGTCCTTTTGGCCTATATATCCCCCATCACCTCACTTAATTTCCTGGGCCTTATCTTCTCAATATCTCTCCATTAATGCCCTCTCTCTCTCTCTCTCTCTCTCTCTCTCTCCCCTAATTAAGTATATATGTAAAGTTAACTTGTCCTTTTGGCCTATATATCCCCCATCACCTCACTTAATTTCCTGGGCCTTATCTTCTCAATATCTCTCCATTAATGCCCTCTCTCTCTCTCTCTCTCTCTCTCTCTCTCCACCCCCTCCTCTCTCTCTCTCTCGCATCTCTCTCTCTCTCATTTCTCTCTTTCTCTCTGTGTATATATATATATAGTTCTTTTCCTTCCTTATCAAGATATAAGAGGGGAGGAGAGGCAGTAGAGAGATAATTAAGGCTTTCCCTTTCAAGTGTGTTTGTTTCTTGACATGTATATAAGTGAAATTCTAGCTATATGAATTTCAGAGAGAGAGAGGGAGGGGGGGGATTAATTGGAAGGAGAGGGATCGATGTGCCTGGTTCCCTGTATGCCACCCAGGTACCCCCAATCTCATGCTGCCTAGGTTGGGTATTTTGGGTGGCGTGCATGGAATCAAGCATGTCTTAATTAATTTGCCTTTGATCTCCCCCACCCCCTATTTCTCGCTCTTTAAAACCAAAAAAAAAAAAAAAAGGTTAGTTAGTTAGTTAGTTAGTTAGTTGTTAGGGTTTAATTTGATGAAAGAAACGGATCGATGGAGAAGATGATGGGTGCATATATGAGGGCCAATTAATTAAATAAATTCAAAAGAGGAAAATTAAGGTGCAGACAGGCACGGGCTGTGCCCGGCAGTTCGCCACGCGTGTGAAAGATCGACCGAATTAAACCATGACGTACATGTCAAAGCTACATCGATCGATCTGTATGGAGCTAGCTCGACCTGCTGGTGGAGAATTGGCTGCCGGTGGGTGGCGTGCGAGGAACCAGGCATATATACCTCCCCCCTCTCCATCTCTATATATCTTTTACATATAATATATTCATCTTTTCTTGATTTTCTTTTTCATGTTCGACTTCAAGAGTTTGAGACAATTAGTGGTACGATATATTATTTACTAGGTATCAGTTGATTCGCGCGATGGTTATATTTCATGCTTCATTTTGATGAAGGGGCCGGGGCTGTCCTTTAATTTCTTTGTTTGGGGTCATCACAGAAATAATCGGTCGTACTAATTAAGTAGAGGATTTAATTCTAGGTTTATCTTGCTGTATTTTTTTAGGAATTAATGCCCCCAGTTTAGTAAATTATATTAATCATTTTACACAAATGGCAGTAAGAATCAAGCTCCGATATCAGGAATTAAAAGTTTTGCTGAGCCATTTTTTGTTAACAGCTGGCTGTGAAGAAACAAATTAAGCATGAAAGATGTAATTAACATATAACATTATTCTTGTGTAATGCTATTTTTGGTTATCTATGT